AAGGAATTTTTCGGCTTGCTTAACTCTGCTCGAGTGATCATAAAGATAGACTAAATGAGGCTTATGTTTCTCCCACCTCCTCCTCTAGAGGGCACTTTTTTAGATCCTTTTTTAAACAGTTAAGCACTAAGCAGAGTCATCCATTGTGACTCTGGCAGCAACTACCTCAGCCTTTTTCCTTTTACATTTTCTTTTCTTTTCATGATGACAGTGGTGAGGCCCTGCCTCCCCTGAGTGCACGTCCCTACTATGGTGCATTAGTACAGGGAACCTTAAGGATCATTACATGCAATCTTATAGTTCAGATACAGAGGGCAATGGCCTCCTACCCATGCAAAACTTATGGTGGCATTTATATCTGGAAGGAGTTAAAGGGTGCTGGTGAATGGGGTGATAATGCGAATGGATGGACTTAATTTTGCTTTCCTCAGTTTGGAGGAGGGATGTTGAGATCCTTGCTTATTTGTAGCTATATTAATCCTACAGTATAGATTTTAGGTTTTTTCCATCAAAATGGCAAAAATACATCCTATGAATGTTCAGCAAATACATTTACTATGGTGTGCATCACTGATCTCATTTGGACAGGAAAAGGCAGTTCTAAACTGTTGTAGTACATACCAAAAATTTCCTTTTCTGTTTCCAGTGACTTCCTTGTGCATTTGTGGCCACATGTGCTTCTGTAACAATTTTAATAAACTCCCATTCTTCATCAGTTGGTTCTGGTTTCACTCCTATTGTTTTTTGTAATTCTTCTCGACGTCTTTTCTCCCGATTTTCCTCAATCAGTTTTCTTTTTGCTAGTCGTTTGCTGTCATCCAACACCACTAATGAGAAAAGAATATATTTCAAAAAGGAGACTAGAAATGTTTCTTATATGGATCTCAATATCTCTTTTGATGATTCAGGTAATATCTATGTTGGTAGTGGACAAATAGCAGAATAACTAGCTAGGACAAAATCTTGGAGCTTTTATATTTAATCAAGCACATTCTTCAAAATCAAGTTAATTCCAAATCATGGAAATTCATGGAGAAAAATTATACATTCCAGTGTATGTATGTATGTATGTATGTATGTATGTATGTATGTATGTATGTATGAATGAATGAATGATAAATAAATAAAGGGAGAATCAGCACAAATACAACACAAATGTAACAAAGGCAACAGTAAAAATATTGGGTTTCTGTCTGGATGGTCTCTTGTGATGAGCCGATAGACAGAGAATGGAAGCAGTAAGCTTCCTCCCATATTTGGGCATACCAGGGGTTGTGACACTAAAGATTATATGTGTGTGTGTGTGTGTGTGTACACACATACATACATACATACATATATATTTTAGTGTTATTATGTGTGGCCTATTGTATGCTGTAGCAAGTTAAGCTTCAAAAAAATCCTTGTCAGATCTGTTTGAAGGAGTCTTATATCTTCAAGATCAAAAGAAGAGACACAGACTCTTAGGATAAAATATTTCAATTTTGTGTACTTTTCAGAACAAGACAGAATGAAAAAATAGCTAGTATAATCACTTGATTTTCCATATCTAATAAAAATATGTATGAGGAAATCATGGAACTATTCTACTACAGCCATCACCTTGACTGAAGGGTAAGATGAAGGAGCCTTCATGAAAGTTCTGCTTTGTGTATATATGAAGGGCTCAACCACATAAAGAATCCTGTCATATAGAGGAGCCTCAAGTACAAACTTTCCCTTTATATAGCCACTGAATATATGACAAAGACATCTATGAGGCCTTTCCCATATCGTGAAGATGTATTCTCTTCTGCTGGAGAAAATATGGAGAGTCACTTCCCTCACATGAAGTATGAACAATGATTTCTTCTGCTGTTTATTGTGTTATTGAGGGAGAAAGGAAAGACCTTTCCTCTACTTTGTACCCCTGCCCCAGCACAGATTCCTTAATGCTTCCCACCATAGTGATCTTTGTCCTTTTGTGCTGGGGAAAACTGCTAATGCCCTTCAAAGCAAATGCAGCAATGCTGCAGTAGGGTCCCCCCACAACCATAGTGGTTAGGACAGGGATATTACTGATAGGAATATTAACCTCACAGTATAACTTTCACAAGGGACTAATATGTATACCAGGCAAAAAGAAAAAAATGTCTGCCAAACAACACTTTGTTCTTTCTAGGAGCCAAAGGAGAAATGGCCACAGATATGCAGATATGCAGAAGCAATGATTATCTGGGATGGGTGGTCCTGTGGCAGTCCAGTTGGAGCACTACAGGTTGCCAATTTCTTTCAGGTTCCTTTCAGAAATGTTTTTATGGTAGAGGTCTTCGTTTCCATCTTAATCTGTCTTTAGCCTGCCTCAGTGACATGTCATTCTCCAGAGAGCCTAGTGTGAGAAATATCCTCCAGGGTTGGCAGGTTAGCCATTGTAGAGGTTGGGAAAGGGGTTGATCATTCTGGAGTTCAATCCCATGCTTCAAGATTGACTCAGCCCTCCATCCTTCTGAGATCGGTAAAAATGAATACCCAGATTGTTGGGGGCAATAGTAAACCACTTACAGAGTGCTGTAAAGCACTATGAAGTAGTATATGTCTAAATGCTGTTATTATATGACACAGTAGAGGACAGAAAATGTGATTTGTGGTCATGACATATCCCTAAAAAAGTAACTCTAATTCTCTTTATCACTAAATGATAAAGCATCTTTACCATTAATCTTTTATCCAAATCTAGAGAAAAAAAAGGCTCTGTGGAAATATGCTGTCCAAAATTATTATGTCCAATCATTTCTACTCAATGGTTCAGAACCTATATCACACAATTAAAAGAAATTACAAGGAAAAAGGAGAGGTATATGAAAAACCTAACTTTCATACCTGGAGAGGCATTGCTAATCAGAATAGACATAAGCATAAGCATCTAGGTAAAATCCTATTGATCAGAGCAAAGCAGTACCAAAAATAGCATACAGCTTCTACTAAATATTTAAAGGTACCCAGACAGTTGTTAAGACAGTGCTACTGTCCCATTCTTATATTGCTCACCAAATAGTATTTGTAAGTATTATCTGAGACATTAAGATAATATACAGACATCATGTTAGCAATTTAATTATTCATGAGGTATTTGGAATTTTTAAATATGTATTTAAACAATTATACACCTATTAACACACATATGAGTATTGAACAAATTGATTACTTTAATATTTTTAATAAGACCTTTAACTGTTTATATTCTTGTAATCCATTAAGACTAATATGCTGAGGCTGCAATTTTTAATTATAATTACTCCAATTTACATCAATTAAGATGCTCCTGCAAATTTGCTGAGAAACTTTGGGAATAAAACCTTGTAAAGAGTTAATTTTGCAGTCATATATTCTATTTTCTTAGAAGTGAAATAGTGTTCTCTTTCCTTCTGGCTAAAAATAAAACAAACAACTGCAGGATGACTCATGCAACAGTATCCAACTTCCCATTTTTCCAAATCTTTAAGCTTGATTTTTTTTTCTTCCTCTGCAGGACTTTGCTCAAAATCTCCCCAATTCTGTGATAGAAATTGTTCATCTCCTTAATATTGCTTAAAATAATTTTGGCCAAAAAAAGCATAATCTTTTCAAGAGTTACAGAAAATTTAAGCTCTGAATTTTTTTTAATTGAACACATGAATCAATATTTTCAATACGAATATAAGAATATAAATTAAAAATTGGAATAAAAAACTGATTATCAAAACAAATTGTAATAAACATATCTAATGAAAACAAATAGGAAATTTTAAAAAATCTTACAATCTGTTGCCATGCCAACATAGATGCATTTCTTGAAGCGGCATTCCTGGCACTGGTTTCTTGTGACTTTGTCTATCACACATTTTCCTTCATATTTACAGGAGTAAGTTGGATGAAGATTTTTTTGAATTGTTCTTCGGAAAAAACCCTGTGTGAATAAGATGTTGCAACATTTTACCAAATCTCTCACTTTTCTGTAAAGTGTGCAGGATATTAGCCTTGGGTATTTATTTATAAACCATTAAGAAAGTGCAATATGATTCTATAATTACAGTTTCTTTGGATTTTCTCCTGACAAATAAGAATATATACTACATCTGATTTCAACTATTGGAGAAATAGTACAAATAATTGTACTCAATTCTTGTTTAGATGCTATAAATGAGCTTATTTAAAGAAGATAAGATTAAAAGGATTGATGGATTTTTCCAGTTCATGGACTGATTTTTTTTTTAAAGTAGTGATTAATAATTATTGTATACTGCTGACATCCTACTCCTACACGTAACTGTGACCTCTGTAAATAATTACATCAGTTTAGTATATAAAGGAGCACCGATGAATATTACCTTCTGGTAAACTATAATGTTACTGATGGATGACATTTGAATACACATTATATAGGTACTAAATTAGATTTTATATCATGACACTTTAGATGGATTCAGTTCACAGACATTTTGACCAAACATATCCCGAGGGTATTTTCTAGGTTGTAATTTATTGAATATCTTTATCTGAAATATGTATATGATTGGCTTAGCTATAATTCTTGTTTATAACATACATTGAAATTTCTTTTAATACGAGCCTATGGATATAAAACAGTATCTGATTTCCATTTCCTAAGCTGATGTATGAAGAAATGAGAAGCTGAAACTAGCTCTGAAGAGAAAAGAAACTTCTTACTATTCATCCCTATTATAGTTTTGAAGTTAAATTAGAGATTCAGTGAAATCAACAGTCACATACCTGATACCACTTTGAAATTAAATTAAAATTAAAAAATTAAAAATAAAAATGAAAAACTCTGATGCAATTAATGTCTATTTAATTAATTATAAATTGATTAACAATTTCAGTAGGAGGATTGTGAAAGAAAGACTTCTGTCATTTAAGAATGTTATTATAAAGTGATTTATAAAATACATTAGCAAAATTTACTGTATCTTAAAGATGGCTAGTTCACACTGCAGTAAGCCAGTATGTAGCTATTTGATTTTGACAGTGTGATCTGTTTCATTTATTTATTAATGACCAGATGCAGATGAGGGAAAGATCCAGCTTCCAAATATCTTTACAGCATAACTAGTGGCCAGCCTGAGGCCTCTGGAAACTCCCAATATGGAACATGCTATTAGAATTTAGTGGCAAATAACTTACTTTAAACGAAATAATATATTACATACATCTCTGACAAATTTAACATGATTTTTTACTTTTATTAAAAAATAAACATCCAGAACTCTATCACAAAAAAATATATGAAAATCCTTTCTCTATTTTTAGTGATTACTAGTCGCCGTGGAACTATCTCTCACTTTGCAGCAGCATTAGAAAAAAATAGACCTTGCCCACTCCTGCTTTAAAAGTGACATAAACTTACAGCTGGTGTTGGCTACAAAGGAAAATATGTTTGATATATGGCCTTGAGAGAACTGTCATTAATAAATGACAAAATCAATAATGCCAAGTCATTAATAAATTATTGAAGTTTAAAGACAGCAAGAAAAACATAATCCCAGTCAGCATAACTAAATTTCTTATACAAAACATTGCAGGATCCAGTGACCTGGGTTGGTCACTGGCATCAGAGCTTTAGTCTTCCAAGATTTCAGACTAGTGTTGGAATCCATCCTCAGGGAACTTTTCTCTACCAAAATGTGTACTTTGGGATATTCTGTATTTATTTACAAAAAAAAATAAAAAAAAAATAGTACACATAGAATAGCCCAAAGTGTGCATTCCAGTAAAGAAAAGTTCCTGAGGAAGGCTCAAGTGTGAATGTAAAAGCTTGGCAGACTAAACTTTGGGTCCCAGGGACCGACACAGATTGGATCCTGCAATATTATCCTTGGACATCTTTGCCTTAATTCGTAAAACATTATTGGACTTATGGTGCTATATAATACCTTGTTAAAAAAATCCAGAAAAAACCAGTTTTTGAAAATGTTTGAGGTGCTTCTCTCTGGGAAGGGAATTACAAAAAAGAGGGAGATGCAAGAGTAAAATTGTAACTATTCAGTAAAAAGAAGAGTGGAAATTCTAGACTGTATTTTCTTTTTGTTATACTTCATTTTTTAGATTCCTGAATACCTCATAGATACCTTATACCTCATATGATTTTTTATTGTTATTGTATTTTAAAATTCTAAAATCAATAAATAAAATGAGAGTCTCTTTTCTATTGCAAGCACAAACATTACTTTGTGATATTAAAAAAGGATTATTTTGTTTTGTTACATATAACATATGCTGTTCCCTACATGGCATTTCCACTTATGTGATATCTATTATAGGAAATCAAATTAATTTATGATTTCCAGCTCTTATTCATTTACATTGCTATTATTACCTTGCAACCTTCACAAGTGATACAGCGATAGTGATATCCAGTTGCCTTGTCACCACAAACAACACATAACTCATCCTTGTCTAAATAACTGGGTATGTACCCTGCAAAGAATTAAGAGAGAGAGAAAGTTTATCAATGCAAAAAATAAATTTGAAAGTTATCTCCATTATTTAATGCATGTTAATATAACTTACTGCTCTGACATTAATGGATTCTTAAATAGAGGCAGGAAATACATCAACATTGAACAATTTGAATCAAGGTATTATAAAATACAAAAAGAAATTATTCAGGAATCTAAATTAATAAAGAAAACAATGTTACCAGAATCAACATGTAACTTTACAATACACAATTCTGACAGTTGATACCAAAATATCTTAGTTGCTAAGGTTGAATAAACCTAGCCTAGAAGAATGCAGAAAAATCAATAAATATTTGAAAGAAATCTTAGACGTAATGCAGATTATGCTTAACATAAATTAACATAGAACACTAAGACAGTCAAATAGGTAATTTAGAGATTAGAAAGACTGCACTTCTACATATCTGGGCCCATTTTTTTCCCCAGCTAAATTATTCTTGCTTTTCTTCTTCCATCTAGCCCTGAAATGCTGCAGAGATGTTTTTAATCAGTTTCTCTCTGAAGCTGAGTTATGGAAATAAGACCTGACTGGAAACTGTCGGACTTCATGTACATCCCATTTTTGTAGATTAAGTAAGACCTGCTAGAATTAAGTTTTGTGATTTAAAAAAAAGATTGCACCCCAAATTATTATTTTATTCATTAGATTTTTCTGCTGCCCATCTTCCTTAATTTGTGAGGGACAAGAGAATTTGTCAAACTGCCACAGGAATTTTCATTGATATCATCGGTCTACAAGGAGAAAGCCTAGGAAATGAAAGTAGCTTAATTTTACCAGAATTGGGACATTAATAAAGGAAAATTAAGTCTGAATATTAATTGCTCCAGTTTCCAAGATCAGGTCAAAACTGCATCAAAATTATTCAAAATTATAAGGGGGATATGCGATTTTATTTTGGAGGCTGATAATTTTCCAAAACTGAGGAAGATACACATTTGCATAGAATATAAACCTAAATATAGCCTTTTTCCTTAACTAGCATATATTTAATAAAAGAGATTTTGTTTGGATTTACCTCTCTGTGTGCTAGTGGGAACATAAAAAGAGTTCACACACTTACTTTCTGAATCTGAGGTTCTTGGCCCAACGGTATCAGTAACAGGCACTAGCAGTAGTCGTTGCTATATCTACTTTTAAACATGAACTTTAAAAAATATATCAGCAGGGAAGTGCTGAAATATTACTGATATTGCGATAGTAGTGATATTGATGGCTAAAGAGCTACTGCCTCTCTTGTACAATTGAATTTTCAACTTTATTCTTGCTGCTAATGCTTTCATATTATGTAATGTTAATATTATATTTCATTCCTCGAAGAGAAAACATACCAGGGTTCATTCTGTACGAAAAGAGTACTCTTTTAAAGAAAATTATAGGATATTACCTGTGTTCTGTTCAAGCTGTAGAAGGTTGCTTGAGCAAATGGTGAAAGCCCCTGACTAAGGAACCTATTTCCAACACCTGTGATAAATAATAGGTGTCTAGCTATTCATAAACATGCCAATTGCAGGTCTTGCTCTTAAATGTGTTGCATTGTTCGTAAATATATTGAACCAGTCTCAAACCAGTCTTACTCACTTGAAGGAAGATTCATTTTATAGTAATATGAGATATGAATTAATCTAATATGATTAACAGTCAAATTAAATCCTAGCTCAAATTAGTTTCTTAAGCAAGTCCACAGCTGCTTTTTAAATCATTTGTCTGATTTGAAAAATATGGAAGATAAGTGCTAAAGTCGAACATTATTTTGTCTTTTGATACACTTTTATGATTGGAATTTATTCCACTTCTTACCCCATCAAACATTTTGTCAATGTATTGATTGGCATTTAGTAAAAAATGGCTATTGTGTTAAAAATATGAACAGAAACACAATAAAAACTTCATGGTTGTTCAATTAAACAATTTGCTTAATGATAAGGTTTTGAAGAGAAATAGAATATACAATGCTGTGATTAAAATTTTGTAATACATGCAGATGCCTATACAATGTTACAGAAAGAGGAAATGATTTTTTTCCTTTTCCAAATGATCCTCCTACTGGAAAGTTCATGTAGAATGAATTGTATTCGTTTTCATTTCCTTAATATTCTAGAAGTGGAATGCATTATGTTAATCAATGTATCCCAATGCCCTTTCATATAAGTTGCTCATATATATATGTATGTATGTATGTATGTATGTATGTATGTATATATAATTTTTATTAAATAATTGTTTACAAAGTTAAAAAATAAATACAAAAATAGAAGTAAAAAAAGATAAAGAACAACAAAATAAAGTGAAGAAAAAAGTATTTAAGCAATTTATGATTTTCCTTGCAGCAGTTATAAGACATACTTGATACCATTTTCCCCTTCACAATTATATAACATAATTCCCATCTGCTCATATACATACACAACATATACAATTAGTAAATCCAGAAATCATCAGTTTCTAGTCTTGTATAACAGTACTTGTTATTCATTTCCTAATCAAACAAATTAATTTATTAATTTCTGTTAAGTTCTACCATTTTCACCATTCATCCTCTGTTATATTTCTGTATTCTTCATCTTTGTGCATGTAATAATCCCGGTGCTGTTACCATATATAAATCCAATAATCCATGAGTTACTTTAGCATATAATATCTTAAGGATCCTGATTTTTGTCATCTTGATTAATTTTCTGAAATTTAAATGTAGCTATGATTTTAAGATGAAAATACTCAAACAGCTGTAAATATATGACTGAAATATAAAATATGTATGTTTCATAATGTTTAGATTCTTAGAATTAAAATTGTATCCTACCAATTATGTAAATACCTTTTTTCACAAGCCATGCAAATTTTATAAAGACATTTTGGTCAGAATTAGAAACTCAGAAATGTACCTTCTTTTTAATCTAAAGATATAATGTATGGTTCTTAATTTTTTAGATACTAGCTTTTAAAAGTATAATGACAAGTACTGGTATAATAAATACAAGCTAAGTTATTCAGAGTTATATGAAATAAATATAAAGAGCTTGTAAAGCCAACTGTAAACACCTGCTTTAAATCTTAATTTTGTTTAATGAGCTAATATTAAGGCTTTGCTAGCTGCAAAAAAATATGCATGTAAAATAAGAGAAATCAATTGTGGATCAATAGTGTCATAAATGCTGTATATTACAGCTGTCTGCCTTCAAGAAAGGATTAACTGATCAAAATTTTTTATCAGGGCTTGGCTGAAAGGTCTCATAAAATATGTTTATAGTTTCTAATACAATTTGATCAACAAATATGTTACACCATCTTTGCTGAGCAAGAAAATGATCAAAAATGTTTGCAGGCATATGAGTTTCATTCACTGACAGCAACATATTACTGCCAAATATTTGGAAAACTTTTATATTCAATGGAAAACAGGCAAGAAAAAAATTATTGGAGAAAAATATCACAATGAAGATTCCAAGAAATATCCACTATTTACTAATATTTAAAGTTTTCTAACATAGAATTATATGTACGGACTAGTGTATGTGTAATATTGAAGTCTAATACATATAAATATTATAGCATTATAAAATGATAATTATCAAGAATTGTTTAATTTTATAGCCATATAATAGTTTACAAATTGTATATGGATAGAAATCTTGTGAAGTTATGTTTGCAAAATATCATGCAGTTTTTAACTTTATTACTAATATTTGCTAACAAAACAAGTGTGTTGGTTATATAGTTTCTATATAAAGACAGAGCAAAAAAGAGGAAAAAAATAAAAAGTATATATCTTTTACTTATTTACATTAAGATTCAAAAAGGAGAAAAATACAAAGACATAGAAATAATAGAAGGAAATAGAAAAGAAAAAGAAGATACAGAGATTAGGTTATTTAATTTTTTTAAAAATCCTATTTTTTAAATATATATTAAACCTTTTAATTATTTACATATTGGTCATTTTTCACTTCTGGAACGTTTTAAATATGATGAATAATTTAAATCTAATTTTTATCATTTAGTAACTTTAAAAAAAATCTAGACTTTTAGACCAGTATGTTTTTTTAAGCTACTGTAACTTTCTCTACTATAAGTAATAATTTAAGAACAATAAATGCTGCTAGGTATATCTCAAGCTGAGCAAAAGAACAAATTTTAATATTGTGGCATTCTATTTATTGTGACATTCATCTATAGAAGTGTTTTAAAAGAAATAGTAATTTTGATATTTGCTCAGTTCTTAATTGTATGAATAGCTGTAAAATAATGATCATACAGTAGACCATTTACTCAGATATTTTAGATTGTTTGAACAAATTCAACTAACTTGCAGTGTTAGTTACATACATACATAACTGCTGACTGTCAAGAAAAGTAACATTCAACACTGTAAAGAGTAATGGTCTATAAAATAAAATGTATTACAGAGGAAATAATATTTTATATACATGCAGTAAAGTGTTTCTCACAGATGTTGAACAGCTTGCTTGCTGTGAAACATAATGCAATGTAATCTGAAATAAAGGCATCCTTCAATATTGTATAGAAATTATTTATTTAGAATTATTCTCTTATTCCCTATTAACTGCACCACCAACCCAACTGTTTGGTCAATTGGATGAGAAAGTAAAGTTACACTTCATTTTTTAAACAGTTTTTCCCCTGAACTGTTTTATATTGTAAATATAAATTTTATTTTTATATTATAAAATCCAATGATTAGCATTTTATGCAAATTAACAGTGGCATGGCAACTTTTGCACACATAATGAGAACTAAAGATGTTAAATAGGCAGTGGTCACTTAAGAGATGAAGACACAGAAGACCATACATTTTACAAACCACAAATTAATTGCCTGTTAAAAGAAACTTTAATTCATTCAAACCACTTACAAATGAATAGCATGGTAGGCTGGCAGTTTGAAAATATTGTTCACATATAAAATGCTTCCTGATATTAATGTAAAAATGCCTGCAT